GCACGCTGCAGGTGGCGGCGGCTGGCGAGGTGCTGCTGCAGCGCCGCCTGGCTGTTGCAGCCCAAATTGCACAGCTCGCATCGCGACTGCACCGGCGGCCCCAGCAGTGGCAGCGGCGGACAGTGCGGCTGCGTGCGCTGGCGTGGCTGCTGCTGCTGTTGCTGGTAGTAATGCCGCTGCTGCCACTGTTGTTGCTGCTGCTGAGGTGGGCATTGTGATTGCATGGGCATGTGCGTTCCCTGTGTGCTGAACTGCTGCAAGCCTGGTGGCGCTGTGGGGTGGCCCGCAGGCGGCGCGTACGCGCCATACGGCCCCTGCTGCAGCGGCATGGGTGCGGGCAGCGGCGCGTATGGGGCGCCGGCCATGGGGACAAACATGGCTCCCTGCGGCCCCTGCATGCCCTGCATGCCGCCCATGCCGGCCAAGCTATGCATGTCGTGCATGCTGGGCGCGGCATGCATGGGGGGCAGCGGCTGCATGGCGCCCTCCATGCCCTCCAACCCCAGAATGATCCCCATGCTAGTGTCCACTTGCATGTGCTGCATGTAAGCGGCGGGGTCCATGTACATCTGCTGCGGAATCATGTACAGCGCAGCATTGCCTGCACCACCACCACCACTGACAGCGACCGCCGCGCCCGCCGCCGACACATGACTGTCTGCAGCCCGCTGTTGGTGTTGGCGCAGCAGATGGGCGTCTTGCTGCGAGTGGCGCTGCGCTTGCTGCTGGCGCGGCTGCTCCATTCGCTGCTGCGGCCACAGCCCCTGATGCTGTGGGCTGTCGCCTTGCTGCGGCTGCTGCAGGGCCGCCGCCATGACGGCCGCCGCCGCCGCTGCGGCCATGGTTTGCTGCTGTGCCTGCAGCTCCTCCTGACTCTGCAGCGCCGCCGCCGAAGCCGCCGCGAAAGATGCCGTCTGCAGCAGCGGCCCGGACGACCCATGAGAGCTGTCGCCGGTGGGGCTGCCGCCGTATGGGCTGCCACCCTCTGGGGTGCCGCCATACAGGCTGTTGGTGGCTGCCACCAAGCTGAGCCGGCTCAGGCTGCCGACAAGAGCCAGGCGGCCAGAGTTGCTGGCGCCAGCTGCATCGAGAGTGCTCGCCATGCTGGGGGGCGCTGCGGAGCCGCTGGCATTGCTGCTGCTAACCGACAGAGCCGGCTGTTGATGTTTTTGCTGCCTCTGCTGCTGCTCAAGCTGCTGCTGCCGTTGCTGCTGCAGGATCGCGCTGGCCGCAGCCACCAGGCCCTGCGAGCTGTCGCTGCTGCCCAGATCCCGCGTCAGGCGCCGCGGGAGGGGGCTGCCCAGATCAAAGCCGGCGGTGCTGCCCGCCGTCGATGTAGCCACTGCTGCGCTTGATGTGACCGGCAGAAGGGTGGCCTGCAGCGCGAAAGCGTCTAGGGCGCCCAGTCCCATCGAAGCCACCGCCACTGCTTGGTGGTGATGGTGATGGTGCTGCTGCTGCTGCTGCTGCTGCTGCTGGTGGTGCCGCTGCATGACCTGCTGCAGCAGCGCCGCGCTCGAGGCCGCCGGCTGCGCCGGGACAGAGCCAGAGCCGGCGGTGGGCACGCCGAGGCCAGCGCCATCAGCGCGGCTCAGCCCTGGGGCAGCCAGCGTCGAAGCCTCCAGCGATAGGAACGGGGGTGGGCTCGCCCCGCGCGCCCCCTGGGTGTCAAAGGGCGAGCCGCCGCCGAGCAGTGGCGATCCCCCGAGGGGCGGAGACCCGCCCGGCACCGCCGCCGCGGCCGCCACTGCGAGGAACGCGGCGTCCGCCGCCAGCGACGAGGCACCACTCAGGCCGAACGTTGAGCTGCCGCCCCCGACAAGGCTTGCCAGGCTTGCCTGCTGCTCGTAGGTGGGGCTGTCACGAAACAACAGGCCCTCTTGCTGCTGTTGGCTGTGAAGGTGTTGCAGCTGAAGGGCCAGCAAGTCCAAATGCTGCTGCTGCTGCTGCTGCTGCTGCTGCTGCTGCTGCTGCTGCTGCTGCTGTTGCTGCTGTTGCGCTTGCGTCCTGTGCGCCGCAACGATCCGCGACGCTCGTTGCTGGAGGCCTCCGCCGCCCCCAGCGCTCCGCCCGCTGCTTTGCCGAGAGAGAGTGCGTGCGAGGGCATCGCTCGAGCTTGTGCCGGCCGGCACACCGCGGCCAAGCTGGAGCACCTCCGCTGAATCAAAACCATGGCTTTTGCCAGGGGTCGCGGGCGGGGTGCCTGCTACGGCTACCACACTGCCTGCGCTGCCGACACTCGGCCGTTGCAGGGGAGCGGCACCGCCTCGGGGCGGCAGCCCGGCTCCTGCGGATGCGCGCGTGCCAGGGGGCGACGCCGCACCACCCGCCGCTGGCATGGTGGCGACCTGCTGCTGCAATTGCTGCTGCAGCAACTGCTGCTGCTGCTGCTGCGGCCGTTGCTGCAAGGCTGGGCCCGCGACAGACGCGCCCAACGCAGTGTCTGGAACAGGGCGCTCTGCAGTGCCGGTGTGAGGAATGTATGCAGTCGAATGAGAGTGTGCGTTGCGTTTTTTCAACACCGTCCGGCTTGCAGGCCGATACACAGGATAGCAGGGGCGAGACACCCGGGTCAACCAGGTGTCGCCACCCGTCCTGCCTTCCTGCAAGCACTGACCCTTGCCAACGGCTACCCACAGCATTCAGGACCCTGCATAATCTGCGGCAGCGACCATTGGCCAGCCCGGCCGCGCACGCCCCCTCCGCACCCTCGTCAGAGTCGAAGCCGCTTGAGCTGCTCTCCCCAGCGACAGGCTTGTGGCCATACAAGGACAGCTCCGGGTCAGCCGGCTGCTGCTGGGGCTGCTGCTGCTGCCACATCTGGAGCTGCAGCCACTGGTGGGTGCGCTCCTGCCCAACCACCAGGTCGCTCGTTGCAGCTGGTCCTGCAGCTGGCATGTCGGCCGCGGGTGGCAGCGGGTACGGCGGCGGCGCAAGCTGCATCGGCCGCACATCTGCTGCGTCGACAGTCGTTTCTTTAACAATCTGTTGATCACGCCTGGGCGGTGATGAGTGCATGGCAACAATTGCCTCCACTGCTGCAGGTGCGCCGCAGCATCATCGCCAAGTTTGGGCCCCTGGCGCCGGTGTTAGATGATGGCCGGCTTTTGACAGGATAGATGGACGTCTACTTACTTACAAATCTACCTGCAAGATGGCAGGGGTGCACCCGTTGGCTGAAAGTCGCCGCTGCGAGGACCAGCCTCGGCAACACAGATCAGCTGTCTCGTGAATTCAATGTACAAAAGCTCAGATATTAGTGTGCACTGTTTTAGGTCCCGGGAACATGCGACAGTCGGCTCACCGCCAGAACCAGTTTTGGAGCCTCCACACCCGCACCCCGCTGTGCGCGAAGCCGTCATACTAGCGGGTCACGTTGTTCTTGAACCGGCTTAAGTACTGTTTGCATCAACCTGGTTGCGGAACAGAGCGGTTCGAAAGCGTCGACCCTCCACGGTGCAGCATCTTCATGACTGAAGATACCCTCACACCACAGGGCAAGGGGCCAGAAGGGCGTGCATGGCATTACAGGCGGGCGGCTGGGCGTTATTATAGAAAACCTCCTCACGGTGCACTAAAAAAGGCCGTCATCGGCCGGAACGGAGTTGGGAGAAGCGTGATGCACCACGCTGCCTCTCACCTGCTGATGCCAGGCACCTCAAGGGCATAGAATGGCGTGATGGGCGTTGCGTGGGGGTTGATTTCAGCCAAAAAGAATCTGCGTCCGCACTTCGTCAAAGACTCACATGGTCAGGAGCAGGCAGACGCTGGCTTCATCAATCGGCGTGCGGAGCTGGTTTGCAGCTGGGCATGTGCCCCAGCCATGGCACCGCCCACCTTGGCCACATGCACGGGCACACACGCGTGCGCGCGCGCGCACACACACACACACACACACACACACACCTACACACAAAACACACACGCACATATGACTCTCACGCCGTGCGCCACCTGCCGCACCAGGCTGCACGCATCGCACGACTCCGGTCTGGCGTGCGCTGCAACCCACCATGGCACATGTACCATGCTCAGCCAACCTACATTTGCCCCTTGGCATGACTCAACCAGCATCTTCCTTTGATGATGCAATCAACCAGGAAACACTGCTGTAGGCCAGCGGCATCATGCGGCACGGCAGATAGCATGCATGTGGCCGGACTGCAGTACTCGCCGGCAGTCCAGGCCCTTGCACGCTGTCTGCCCTACTGCAGCAGTGCGAGCTGGTAGTCTCCAGTCGCTATACAGGTTCAAAGGGGTGGGATGAAGGGCGTCTGCGCAAGTTTGGGGCCTAATTCATCATGGGGGTCACCCCCCATGCCAGGTGACTCAGACGATGGGCCAGCCTGTGTCCACTGTGGGCCAGGGGCTCGGTAAACTGGATAGCGGTTTCAGTGCCAGGGGGCTGGACGAGTATGAGGGGACGAGCTTCTGTACTCCACAATTTCTGGTAACTCTGAACACAACCCATGAGCAATGCGGAGTTGTCAGCCCACCTACAGGCAAAGCAGTGCACCGCGTTGGCTTGGCTATTAGGAGCTGGCAGGTTGACAAAGCTGGCTTGTAGCGTGCGTGCGAGATGTGCTTAGTGACCACCAGCTACGACTGCCACTGTGCGCATGACCAACATCATCGTGCTGTCAAGATCCAGTGACTGTGCTGCTTGGCATCTTGATTGCCTGCACAACCTATGCAGCCCAGCAACCTCAGCGTGCGATCTACACTTGAAAGAAACGCGATTTACACATCAACATTCCATACAAAGGGTGAGTGGATGCGGGGTACAAGGACAATGCACCCTGCAGCGTTCCAGGCTGGGGCGGCCGTGCGGCACAGCGCTTTGAGAGCTGCTGTTGCGTAAGCGGAGCCAAAGCAACTTGATTGGGTTTCCTTTCGACTTGACAGCGGCGTGTGGTCCGCTCTCGCAATGCTAAGACGAACCGAGATCCAAAATTGCGTGCACGCGCTTGCGCAGCATCGAGGCGCCCAGCTGCAACCTGAGGCGCGTCGCGGCCGCCTGGTTTGCAGTGCAGGAAGCAGGACTCGGCGGGGTTGCGATCTAACGCTGTTGCGCTCTCACAACGAAGTCCACACAACGACAAGGCAGGGGATATAAGGGCCCAAACTACGGGGGCAGCACGGCCCTGCCGTGGCCGCCGCATCGCTCTTTAAGGCTACGATCATGCAACAACACGCCGCGCGCGGCCGCTGAACCTCGGATGCATGGCTGATATACAGGACCGTTTAGAAATCAGATCGGCGCACCCGGATCATTCCAGATCGCCCCAGATCATCCAGGCCCTCAGATCACAAACTCGGGGTCCTCTGCCCCCTGCGCTGGCCACTGCCTCGCGGCCGTCGCGTCGTCCATCGTGGCCTGCACCTCGCCCTGTGAGGGGTGCAGCAAGGTGGGTCAACACCATGGGTCAAAACCACAGGTCAACGCCTGGATGGGCGGGTCAACCGCTGGCTGCGCAGCGCTGCGCGTCGCGTGCCGACAGCTGCTCGCGCATTGCCCTGCAGGCCAAGGCCGCAGCCCCCCACAACCACTGCAGTTTGACCATCAATCCAACATCCACAAGGATGAGGGCGCCCGCACCTCGTGAACGCCCCTGAGGGGGGCCGGCGTGATGTCTGGGCGCGGCGGCGGCAGCGGCGGCAGCGGCGGGGCCGCCGCTGCCGCAGGAGTGGCCTTGCCGTCGCTGTCGCTCCCGCTGCCACCCGCGCCGCCGTTGACTAGCGCCGCTTGCGCCCAGCCGGTGCCGCCTGCCAGCACTGCGACCCTGCTGCTGCCGTTGCCGCTCCCAGCCCCTTTGCCGCTGCCATTCACCCGAACCGGCGCCCGTGGGCCGACGGCGGCAGGCGGCGCCGTGCCGTTGCCGTTGCTGCTGCTGCTGGCGGCGTCGCCCTTCTCGCTCGGTGCCGCCTCGCCGTCAGGGTCAGGGTTGTTGGCGTTGAAGCGGCCGTTCCAAATCATGCCGAGAGCCGGCTTGCCTGCGGCGGCGCAACACACGGCCAACATGCGCGCATCACCACACGGCTTGCATTCAGTGATACGGGCGAGCCGGCAAGACAGCAGCACGCAAGGCAAGCCAGGCGCATGATATGCAAGCCACGTTGCCGGCCCCAACGCTGCCAGCCGACTGCTGGCTTTCTGAATCTGCTCGGGCCGCACCCGAAATCTTGCCGACGGGCTTCGCCGGAGACCCCGCCACCAGCGTGTGCGGCGGCACAGGCTTCAGCACCAAGGAGCCCGCCGCCACCTGCCCGCAGAGAGGGTCGAGGTGTCCAGATCTTTTCCAGGCAGGCCAGGCCACTGACGTCCACACCCCTGCACACAGCCCACGAAAGCCAGCTCACTTGGCCGTTAAAACGTTGCCATCCAGGCAAAATGCACGCACACACCCGCTGTGTGTGCAATCACACCAGCTGACGGGGCCGCACTCACCTGTGCGCCTTGCCCGACAGGGATGTTGCCCAGCACCGTCACGTTTGCCCCGATGAGCACGTCGTCGCTGATCTTCGGGTGGCGGTCCCCGTCCTCCTTGCCGGTGCCCCCCAGGGTGACGTTCTGCCGAGGTTGCGCAAACGCACCGCTGCCAATTTCAGTGCCGGCGCCGGTGCGCAGACGCGCGTGCAGGATGGCGGCACTGCGGGCGGGGGCAGGAAAGGCGGCCGCACCGCCGCCACCTGCACCCCGTGCGCCCCGCTTTGCTGGTACCAACGACAACAACGCGCAGCGCCTCCCCCCCAGGGTGGCGTACGTGGCTGAGCGCGTGCAAATCGTGGTCTGTGCTTTGCGATCCCTTGGCCGCGCCCACCCACCCACCTGCCCTATGGACACGTTGTCCCCGATGACGGCCGTCTCCCCTATCACCACCCCCGTTCCGTGGTCCAACAGGATGCCCCGCCCCAGCACCGCCGCGGGGTGGATGTCGATGGACAGCACCTCGCTGATGCGCGAGTGCAGCAGCCGCGCCATGACCTGCTGCCCGCGGTTCCACAGCGCGTGCGCGATGCGCTGCGTCTGGAGGGCGTGGTACCCCTTGTAGTAAAGCAGCGCCTGGCTGTAGCCGCGGCACGCGGGGTCCTGCAACATTGAAAAAGGGCGGGCACACGCCGGCTTTTAAATGCGTTTGGGGCGCCCGGTCGTGGGGGTCTGCCGGCTGGGGTCGCGGGTCGCTATCAAGGGGGCACGTTGCTGGGAGGGAGGCCCACAGCTGTACGGCGTCGCACCCTTGGCCTCCGGCTAGTGTGCGGGGTCGTTCTCAGGCGCAAACATTCACTCTAGGGTGCATGAGCAAGCCCTCGCACTTCGACCAGGGATAGCCGCCCACACCCAACCACAACTGCCCACCCCCCACCCGTGCACACAAACACATACATATATACACACACACAAGCAGATACACAAGTAAATACACACAGCACGGACACGGACAAACCAACCCCGCACCCCGCGCACCCTCTCATAGCACGCCTCCACGTCCGCCAGGGCAGCCTGCTTCACGCCCGCCTCGCTGGCCAGCACGTCGTGGAAAATCTCCAGCAGCTGGGTGGGCAGCAGCACCGAGTTGGCCAGGCGGTTGGAGAGCACGAAGGCCAGGGCGCGCTCGAAGGAGGGGTGCGCCAGGATGGAGGCGTAGAGGAAGCTGCTGAGGACCGGCTCGTGCGCCGCGTCATGGGAGGCCTCGGCCCTGTGTGTGTGTGCACATGTGTGTGTGTGTGTGTGTGTGTGTGTGTGTGTTCATGCGGGCACGTGTGTGTGTGAGTGTGTTTTCATGCAGGCACGTGTGTGTGTGTGTGTGTGTTCATGCGGGCACGTGTGTGTGTGTGTGTGTGTGTGTGTGTGCGCGCGCGCGTGCGCGCGCATACGCGTGCGCGCGCATACGCGTGCATATGTGTGCTGCTCGGGCGCGTGGAAAGGTGCGGCGCTGATGGTCGCACCACTGCATCAATATTCCTCCAGCAGGCCCCAGAATGCCCCCGCTGCTTCAGCCCCTCGCCTCAGCGCGGCGCCCCTTTGCCCAACCGGCGCAACTTGCCCTCCACACCTGATTTGGCCCCAAACCGCGCGCTCAAACTCCTCGGCGCTGTCCGCCCCCAGGCTTCCCGGACCGCTGGCCGCGCCCTCGCGTCCGCCCGGGTATTCGTCCGAGGCGGCAGCGCCCAGGGCGGTCGGATCCTGTGGGAAGTTCCAGTCAATGATGCTGGCCGCGGGCGCGCCCTCGCCGCTGCCTGGCGGGTTCGAAAACGCGGCGGCAGCGTGCTGGATCAGACACATGAAAATGTGGGTTCTCAAAGGGTTTTTATGAAGGCCAGGGGCCACACGTCCCCCGCGGAGGCTGCGGCAGCCTGTCCGAGTAGGAGCGGGTGCATGAAGCGACAGTACAGCAGCACGGGCTCCACCGAAGGCGATGGTGTTCCGCAGGATGTCGCGCCCCGTCACGATCGGGCGGCGGCAGACCCTACGTTTGGCTTACAACAAAATACTTGCATTCCCTGCATCGCTCACCCGGGGCAACTCGACGGCAGACCCGGTGTCGCGACAGAGCAAGTGATCCACTCCGCCCCTCCCGTGGCCTTCCTCCGCAAGCGCCCCGGGGTGGGCCACGACAACCTAATGTAAAGCTCATGGCTGGCGGTGCGACCAACTACTTCGCACAGCACTTGGCAAGTGCGTTGACAGTGATCAACGAGTGACGAGATGGTTCCTGCAACATGCGTAACATGCCACATTTAATAATTGTTCGGCCGATATGCCAGCATGCACTCTAAGCGCCGGGCGAGTGCTGGGTCTCGCGATGGTTGCAACATGGCAACAGTGTGGTCATGGCGCCGCCCTGTCAGAAATTTAGTCACGCGGCCTGCGGAGGTAGTGGCATTCTGGACGGCCTTGAAAGTAACTGCCCATGCATTTGATACACAGAAGAGGGGCGGCAGGCAGCATCTGCGCTCTGATGCGGCGCTAGTTTTGGCGGCTGGGAATGGCACTCGGATGTGCGGCCCTCCGCACCCCGCGTGAATGCAAAATGCGGCGGGGGAAGCAAGGATTGAGCCCGTCTGCAGCACGGGCACAGAAGCCAGCGGCAGGTGACACTGCGTCAGCGGCGCAGAACACTGAGGCGGATGCCTTCATGCATTTGCACCTGCCGTGCTGCCGCTCATGCCTCCGAAACATCTCTGGGCTGGCTCGGGTCAACGCGTCACAGGATACCCGTCAGCCTAAGCCATTACACATATAGCATAAGCATACATCAAAACATGCTGCTGCACCCACCAAGTGAGCGAGCTCGTTTGCCGGGGGGGGGGGGGTGAGCAGCACCGGGTGCAACAGCCCAACTGACGGCGTTTGGCACAGCTGGGCGCTGTGTCACAGCGCAAAAGACATGAAACACAACGGTCGATAGTGTACACATGATGCACAGGCTTGATGCATGCTTAATGTTGATGCAAAAGGCAAGCTCGATCGGCAGCCCGCGCTTCGCGGCGGGCACGGATGCGGTCGACAAAAAAACCCTGCGCGGCATCCCACGGGCCCCGGAGTCGTTGCCCCCCTTCGTATAGCTTTGACCGGCAGCTTCCCTTTGACTACAGCTTCGACAGGCAGTGGTCCATCACGTCGGCCAGGAAGTCCGCGTCTGCGCGGCTGAACGCCATCGGCGGCTTGATTCGGAAGACGTTGCCGTACAGGCCGCCCTTGCCCATGAGCACCCCCAGGTCCTTCATGCCCTCAAACACCTCCGCCAGCTCCTTGGTGGCCGGCTCCTGCCGCGGCAGCCGGGTTGGGGCGCGGGGACGGCGCGCCGGGGGCTGGTCAGGTGCACGTATGTTGGGCGCCGCACCATTTATTACAAAGCGCACCGCAACCTAGGTACATCGCACGAAAAAGACACACATACACAAACAAGGATACATGCATAAACACACGCACATGCCACTTCACGCACGTGCAAGCTCGCTCTCTCCGCACCTTGGTCTTTTGGTCCTTCACCAGCTCGAGGCCCAGCATGAGGCCGCGCCCCCTCACGTCACCAATGATGGAGTGCTTGGCCTGCAGCCCCGCCAGCCTGGAGGGATGCGCAGACCGGGGGGGGGGGGCGGGGGGACAACCGCAGCAGGGGACGAGTGCGTCGCAGACAGAAGGGCTGAGGGGAGGCGGCCACAGCACAGTGGTCATGAACGTCGCGGCAGCGGCAGCGGCACGCACCGAGCTATCGCAACGAGGCGCCGTCAGCGCCCAAGAAAGACACCAGGCGTGGCCACAGAGCGGGGCAGGGTTACCCAAGCCTTGGTCATGCGCAACAGGAGCAATACAAACGTCCGAGCCAAGGGGGGTCAAAGCGTGACCGCCATCGCGCCCCCACACACGCCGCGCACCGCTCGAGCAGGTGCGTGCCGACGTCCTTGCAGTGGTCCTGTATGCGCTCCCGGTCGATCACTCGCAGCACTGCGCGGCCGCCAGCGCTGCACATAGGGTTGCCGCCAAACCTGCACAGGCGCGGGCGGCCGGAAGGGGTGTCGTGGGCGGACAGCCGCCGCAGCAGGCAACCTCTGTCCCGTCGCCCCCCTCAGCTGCGGGGGTCTGCGCCGGCCCATCAGCAAGCGCAGCCAACGGCCTGTATCCCGCTGTGCGCGTCTGCCGAAGACCCCTCTTCTCGCCCCCCCCCCCCACACACACACACGTCAAAGACGTCCCCGCCCCGCCCACGTGTTGAAGTGGATCGCGCGCGTCAGGCCCGCCGCGATCTCAGGCGTGGTGACCACCGCGGCCAGGGGCAGGCCGTTGCCGATGCCCTTGGCCATGGTGACGATGTCTGGCGTCACCCCCTGCAGCTGGAAGCCCCAGTAGGCGTCACCAGTGCGGCCAAAGCCGGTCTGGACCTCGTCGGCGATGCAGAGGCCGCCGGCTTCGCGCACGATGCGGTACGCCTGGTGTGTGTGTATGTGTGTGTGTGTGTGTGTGTGTGTGTGTGTGTGTGTGTGTGTGTGTGTGTGCGTGTGTATATGTGTATGTGTGTTTGTGTATGCACATGCCTGTTGGGGATGTGTGAACTCTGCGCAGCATGGGGAGCCCGCAACCATAAGAGCCAATGGTGGGGCAGCGGACAGGCGACAGCAGGAACATGCGAACACAAGCAAAAGCCTGACAGGCACATCACTTCTCTCTCTCTCTCTCTCTCTCTCCCCTCCCTCACACACACGACGCGCGTGCACACACACGCTAATACACGCGCACACATGCACAAACGTTACACGCATGTACCACCACCGACACCTGCACATCTAAACAACAAGCAGCAAACACAGCTGCACACACCTCTGGCAGGTAGCCATCCGCCAGGGGCACTGCACCACCGACACCCTGTGTTGCAGCAGTTGGTGCAATGACTGGCTGATCAGGCTAATGGGCCTCTATCTGCAGTGGGCCGCAAGCCATCCCGCAAGACGTTGACACAGGCTGCAGAACTCTTGGCCCCCCTACAGCCAACAGCGGCCTTTCAGGGCCGACGCGCTCGGGCGGAGCCACAGTGGTGAGTAGTGGTGATGGCATTGAGGCAGTTGTGTATGTGTGTTGGGGGAGCAAGGGCCCGTGTTGAGGAGGGGGGGGGTGCAGCGCGCCTGGATGGTCTCCGCAAAGAACCCTGCAACGCGGCCCGAGGTGGCGCCCCTGATGACGTCAGCAACATCTTCCGCATACCTAGGGGCCCAGATGTTGGGGAGGACAGGGCGGGGTTTGTGTTTGTTTGTTGAAGGGGGAATGATTGGTTGCAAGGTGCTGACCGCCATTTTCTTGATTCTGAGTCACCACAAACTCCAACAACTTCAGGGTGTGGCCAGGCTGGCTGGTGCGCTCGGTCCCCTGCAACTGGGTTACGGCGAGCAAACAGAGCTGCAGCAGAACAATGCATCTGGGGACCCGCCGCTCCGCCAATGTCGGGCCCCCAGCCCCCTGCA